AAATGATGACCTCAACTGAACATATAAAAGCTATCAGGCACAAACTTCTACACCCTCACACATCTCCACTTAAAACCAACCTGCATCTGTGCCCAGAAATTGACATGGAAACAATGAGTTTCACTTGCATGAATAAATGAATGAATGAGCAAAGAAATCAGTGCACCCCACTGACTCCAGATTATTTGACATTTCAGTTTATGCATTAACATCTGATGTCATGAGGCATGTGTGTTTTATGATTACAACATGTGTTTTCCGTTTTCAGGACTGCTGTGCTATATTATAGTAGTGAAACGTTGCAAGTTTTGTTGATTTAACTCTGCAAGTTTAGTATATTTTAAATGAGAAATTTAAATCATTTATGTTTTGAGATATACCCAGAGAGTTACATGCAACATTAAAATACCAAATTGAGTGAAGGTGTACTCACTTAGAAAATGTCCTTCTAAAACACTATAATCCCCAAGAGGAAGAATAAAATGACAACCGAGAGAGCAAGTCCTATTGCCAAGAATAATTCTTACTTCAGTTCAAAGGCCTTCTGAACAACTGGAATACGAACATGACAGTATCTAAGGTGATTCAGGTCACTCTGCATTTGAATGTCTATCTATATATGATGAAATTAAAGGATATGACAGAATATCATATGGGGGGTAAAAGGATAAAAAACTCCCTTTGAAACAAAACTGGCAGCAAGCTCTCAGTAAGAAGATTGAAGTCCTCACTAAAAAGAAAAACAAAACAAAACAAAAAACCAAAGTTGTTTAAAAGGTTCTCTTAAAGTTACTAGATAAGACACCTGATTGCATGACAATGAAGAAAATATTAGGAGTTAGCAGTCCAGTGTAACTTTCCGCTTAGCACTGCTCAGCCTATGACAGGGTCACAAAGAGCTTTCTGAAAAGCCAGAAATTTTTCACACACAAAAAAAAAGACTTGCAACTCAATGATGACATCACTTTTTAAAATTACATTCTACTTTGCCAATATTTTAAAATATCAAGTAAAATATTTAAAATATTTTAATATGTTTGTATATGCTTATATTTTAAATGAATTAAATACTTAGTTTCTTCTCTTTTTCTACAAGTCCAAGCAGTCTTTAATTAAAAATATATATATATACTATCCATGCCATTATTTTGATACTATATGGAACGAAACTGCAGGATCAGTATTGGTGCTTTTTCCTTGCACTGTGATCACTGGACCTAGCCTCTCATTTGCCTGCCTAACCACATCTCTTTACAACAATTCCTGAGGAGTCACATGATGAGGCCATGTGACTGCTCCCTTTGCTTCAGATGATTGGATTAGGAAAGGGTAGCACTTCCATTATAGCCAGACAACCACCAGCAAACTGGGCAAAATACATCTCTATCCCCATTTTCTTCTTTGAATTGTTTTGCAGTTAATCTGCACATGATTAACATGTATTCACTGAGGTCATCCTATGTGTAAAGTGGATGTTTTTCATTTTATATTAATTTTTAACCATCAATGAAACATAATTAAACAACCAATGGTTATAAAAAAGTAGCAAAGACATATCCATATAGGTTATCAACAATAACACATCTTATTTGTTCTAACCTATATCCTTTCAATTATATTAATAGAGAAAAAATAAACCATAAAACCATTTAACTATCAATATCAGGTCTTTCTTACTGAAGAGTTCATGATATTAAAGTGGCTGAAAACCACATTTTTCATTAAACCAATCAATGAATGACCTTTAAATTGATTTCCTTAGGCCCCAGTTTTTTCATTTATTTTATTTTATTTTTATTATTATTTTTTTATTTTATTTTTTATTTTAGCTGAGCCATCCTGCCACCTGTTTGCAGCTCAGCGGCAAGCCCAGCTCGGGCCAAGAATCAAACTGGTGACCCTGTTGCTCAGACCTCACACTCTTGAGCAAGCTCTTAACCAACTGAGCCACTCGGCTGACCCTTTTCATTTATTTTAAGTTTAACATTCCCAGGGGACTTTAATCTCACGCCATTGCTTCAGCCCTCTCCTACGTAAACCTTCACTGATTCCGTTGCATGGCTTTCTTGTGCCTTTCTATTCTCAGTCTGATGGGCTGAAGCCACTCATAAATTTCACCAACAGTCTCCTCATCCAGTTTCCCCATGCTGACATGACATTCTTTGCTGATGTCATCACTGTATCTAGTGCATGTAGGATCATAAAGACACTTTTCTGCTTGCTTGTCTGTATTTCCTTTGGAGTTTTGAGACTATGAGGCAAGAACTATTTTCACCTCAGACTATCCACCACTTAGCAATGCCTGGTACACAGCAGATACATATAAATGTCTGAAACATGATGGAACGTTATAAATTGTTAAAACACATTTAGAATGTATTATAAATGTTAAATTTATAGTTTAAATTGATACATATCTCAAATTCACTAACTTTTTAAATTGAACTTACCTTAAATCACTCTAACCTCTCTCTCTCTCTCTTTCTCTCTTTCAATTCTGTGCACAGGAATGCCAGAAAAACATATTAAGTGTTATTCAGTGCTCACACAGATTCCACAGACACCATATAATACTATACATAATAAATGCTAACTAATCAATATGAAATCAGCTCAGCCTAGAAATGAAAACTAGTGGAAGCAACTCTCAGACCTCCTAACACATGAATGCTAAGTAAGATGTTTTCACAGCAACATTCAGCAAATGTCACTACAAATTAAACAAAACAAACAAACAAACAAAGTAATAATTACTCCTGGTGAGACTGATTGCAGAAATGACTTAATTTACCACATAATATCAACTGGGAAAATGTCATTTGATTTTTAACAAATACTTATTACCTTTCTGTTATTTTATAGAGGACATAAACACTTTAAGAAACTTCTGTGTTAAACAATTTATCATCAGACAAGATTCCAAAGGAACACTCTTAGATGGATTTCAAAAGGCAACATTCTGGAGCCATATATTTAACGAAATAACTAATATATAATAGGGGGCAGCTGGGTTACTCAGTTGGTTACAGCGTGTGCTCTGAGCAACAGGGCTGACGGTTCAATTCCCATATGGGCCAGTGAGCTACACCTCAATTGAAGACAACAACTTGAGNCAGATCAGTGGTTGTCACAGGTTAAGAAGTGATTGGGGCCAAGAGGGATATAGGTGTGACTATAAAGGCACCGTGAGGGACCCTTGTGGTGATAGAAGGGTTTTGTATATTGACCATATCAATGTCAGCAACCTGGTTGTGATATTGTAGCAAACCTTTGTGAGATGTTACCACTGTGGGATACTAGTGAAGAGAACATCAGATCTCACTGAATTATTTCTTAAACTGCATGTAAATCTATAATTTTCTCAATATAAAAAGTTTAAGAAACTATTCATATATAAGAAAAAGTCCAGGTGCAGAATAAATATTGCATGGAATTAATGAATAAATTAATGAGTTAAACACTTATATCACCTTTACATGAGCACTATTAGATAATAAAAATGATCAAATAAAATTAAAGGACATACAGCAAATTTGGCATATTTTAGATAGGCAAATGTTTGTTCAGCAAATGATTAAACTAATATGATATTCCAAACTACTGATTTTGAAATCATACAAGCAGAAAATAATTTGTTTGTGAACAACAAAAACATAAATGGAATCTAGCATTTTAATCTAACTCATACCCTACGGGTAGATAACAATGAATGTCACATACATTCTGAGTACAGTTGTCATTTGCATTAATATTTTTGTTTGTTTTATTGACATTTGAGGGAATGATAGTCATTTACGGAATTATTTTTTAAATTCACAACTTACAAAAGTAGGGGTAAATCACAGAAGTTTTTTAAAATATGATTTTAACTCTCTCTAGTCTTATTAACTAAAGGCCTCATTTTTATGATACAAAAAGATTTTTAAATAATTACATAAAAGAGAAGATGACATCTGCCTTCAGATAATTTGCAAGTTAAGAAGACAGCATAGTCATATCCTAAACATAGGACAAGATGANTTTTTTTTAGCTGAGCCATCCTGCCACCTGTTGGCAGCTCAGCGGCAACTCAGCTTGGGCCAGGCATCGAACCGCTGTTGCTCAGAGCTTGCACTCTTGCGCGAGCTATTACCCTGCATACTTGATATGGGCTCCAGAGACAATACTATATCTGAGCCAGGGTACTCCATCTTTTGCAGAAGCTCCCCGGGTGATGCAGGTGTGTGGGGAAAAGTACATGACTAGAATGTGGGTGATCTATTTTGGAATGGGTGGGGATTTTACAGCACTAAAGAATGAATGCTTGGAGCATTAAGCAGAGAATGAAGGCAGAAATTTTGGCTCAAGCTAGGATATGCGTGACCTTGAATGACAAGCTGAACTCAAAAGATCTGAATTGACAAAACGAGCTTTGTTCTTTGGAAAAGACCTCAGAATGCATTAGAGAAGAGGGGCTGAAGCTGAGGGAACGGTGATCAATTAGCAGCAGATTTTAGTGATTACGGAAAAAAATGGCGAAAGCCTGTCAAAAGACATAAAAGAAAACCTCTAGAAGGAAACCTAAAATGGAAATTAAAATTTACCTGGATCAGCAAAAATATTCCTCTCATTACAACAAAGGAAAACACGAAAGATAGCACTTAAAACTGTCATTTACTGTATTTTAATTAGAGTTTAGCAGGGTAAAAATAGCACTGTATTTTGAAGCTGGAATTTATAGATCTACAAAATAATTTTAAAATGTTTTTCAAGTATAAGTAGCTTTCATATAAAGACAGATAGATGTAGATAGATTTAATAAGGTATATTAATTGTATTAAACTATAGAAATTTGTTTTTAGATATGTAAATAAATATAAGCATGCGGAAAAGGGGAAGAGAGAGACACAGAGAGAGAGAAAGAGAGAGAGGGAGGGAGGGAGAGAGGGAAGGAGGGAGGGAGAGAGAAGAAAAAGAGAAAAGAAAGAGAGAAATATGCAATTATAAACATACTCATTTACCTGGTCATGGCTCTCTGCATAAGCAATGCACTTTTCAAGGTAGCGTCTGTTTGTTAGTGTGAACACTATATTGCCCATATTCCAATCTTCATCTTTAAACTCTTTCAGGAGCTAGATGCAAGAGGGAAAATAATTTGCATAAATCATTATTGTTTTTACATTAAATCCCAACCTGAGGGTATACATCATATCGATCTAAATTATATGACATGCAGATACAAGCACACCACATAGCAAAGATATCTTTGTTTTAACTTTTATTGAATCGCAGTTTTTAAGCAGACTGTCCAAGTGACAATGGTGTAGTGTGTGTGTACACGCGCGTGCGCATATTTTTACTTTTGTTTAAACAGTTTGATCATTCCACTTTAGGATTTTTGCAACCTTTTTTCCCCTGTAACAATAACCAACTCTTGATTAATAACTACAGAAAAGTGTTGCTTAATATGATTCTGTAACTTCCACAAGACTAAGACATGCTACATTTTTAGGTTGGATTAAAAAAATAGCAGGGATAGTGTTGTGATCCATTCTTTAAAAATGATCACTGAATAAAACAACTATTATTTCAAAGTTTAAAGACTATTATGAAATAATTATCATCTGAACACACAACACATTTTTGTCTCTACTTCATTTGCCACTCAGTTTTCAGTCTAGTTTCTGCCCCTCTAACACCTCTTCAATGCAAGTTACCTTGCCAAGATCTCAGATGACTTTCTTAGGTCAGTAACTGCTCTTTCTTAGGCAAATACTAGCTGTATGCATTGACAAGGCGTCTGACCCCTCTCCTCCCCATAAAATGCTTTCCTTCTTAGTCTACCATTATGCAACTCCTGATGGTTTTGTTGTGTTTTCCCACCATTGCAGGCATTCTGTAAAGTCTGTTTCTCTATCCTATAAAAGCTGGTGCTCCTCAAAGTTACATCCTCAAAATAGCCCCTTCTCTTACCAAACACACGCTTTCTCCATGGGCTCATTTGTCTGTTCAAAGTGTCAACTGCAGGCAGAATTCAAGGATGCCCCCACCAGTCCTGCTCCCTCATATTCACACCTTTGTGTACGCCTTTATCTAGAGTGTGGGTGACAGCTCTGAATATGGCAGATGTCCTCTGAAGAAACAGTGAGATAATAACTGAGTGATGTTTTAAATTGCTAAGTTTGCAGTAATTTGTTAATGCAGCAATAGAAAACTAATGCAGACTTTGATACCCAAAATTGGGTTCAGGTCCGCTGGTATCTTCCTTTGTTGACTTCTTTGTTTCCCCTATGGAATTCAGACATGCTTAGTTAGCCATCCCCCATAAATGCTTGTGAGTCGCTGGACACAGAGGGCAGACTGTTAGGCGAAATAATGACCACCCACAGATGATCATCCTAACCTAACGTTCAGAATCTGTGAATACCAATGTCATTACAGGGGTCTTTCTAAAAAGGGAACATGAGTTGTCACAGTAAGACAGAGATCTGAAGATGCTACACTGCTGGCTTTGAAGATGAAAGAAGGGACCATGAGCCAAAGAATACAGGTGACTTTTAGAAGCTAGAAAAGGCAAGGAAACCAGAGCCTATAGAAGGAATGCAGCCTTACCAATGCCTTGATGTTGGCCTATTAAGAACCATTTCAGATTTGTGGCCTACAGAACTGTAAGAACTGTATGATAGTAAATCTGTGATTTTATGTCATTGTTTGTGGTAATTAGATACAGCAATGATTTGAAACTAATGTACAGACCTACAAAAATATGCCCAATTAATTTTTGACAGATGTACGAAAACAACTCAATAGAAAGTGGACAGACTTTTTAACAAATCATGCTGGAAGAGTTAGACATCCACAATCAAAATACCAAAACAAAACAAATAAAATAAAAGCTTTGATTAAGTCTTACACATTGTACAAAAATTAACTTAAAATGGATCATGGACTTAAGTATAAAAGTAAAACTATAAAATGTTTAATAGAAAAAACAGGAAAGTCAAAGGCTTCTTGGACTTGACACCAAAAGAGAGGTCTCTAAATGGAAAAAAAAAATGGCCTTCATCCAATTTATAATAAACAAAGAACTTTTGCTGTNCCCTATTACAATTATTTTCATTTCTAGAAAAATATTTTTATTTACAAACCTGTTATAATGTTGTCCTTAGTTTGAGGGCCAAGAAAGAATTGGCTCAGAATATGGTTCTTGCCACAAGAATTCTCAAAGTTTGATCAGATGGTAATTGTCATCTATATTACTTGAATTCATTTGGTTTTTGGGTTTTATTTGTTTTTTTTTTTTCCTTTATCAAAGCAACCTCTTTATTCTTTAACCTCAGATGTATTTTAAATCAAAACATAAAAAAATGTATACTGTTATGGACTGAATTGTGCCACTCCCCACTCTCAGTCACATTGAAATCCTAATGGCTAATGTGACTATATTTGGTGATAGGGCCTTTAAAGAGGTAGTCAAGGTTAAATGAGATCATAGGGCAGGGCCCTAATCCAACAGGATTGGTGTTCTTATATGAAAAGACACAGAGGATGATCGTGCACAGGGAAAGACCACAGGAGAACACAGAGAAAAGACAGCCGGCCATCTGCAAGCCTACGTGAGAAGCCTCAGAAGAAACTAAATGTGCTGACCCCTTGATTTTGTACTTTCTGCCTCCAGAACTATAAGAAATAAATTTGTTATTTAAGCCACTTTGTCTGTGGTATTTTGTTATGAAAGTGCTAGCAGACTTATACATCTACCAATAAAATGCAGCTTCAATCTGACATGTAACTTAGAGTTCCATATAAGCTTAGTTTGAAAATAAGTCGCACTATGTAACTTTACTAACAACTGTCACCCCAATAAACTTTAATAAAATAAAATAAAAATAGGTGGCACTACTAAAAAAAGTTTGAAAACAATGCATATAAAATATAGATTTGTTACATTGTGATTAGACAATAATATTTCTTGAACAAAAAATTTGACCTTTCCACTTGTTTAGAATTGTTTAATTATATTTTTATGTGTAATTGTTTACTTCTATAATCTCTTATTCTGTTATAAAATCATTTTGATAACTTCTGTTAGATTTTTACTATGATGTATACATTTGTATATTATCTATATTATAAATATACATATTTATAATTTATCAGATTTATTTGTATATTTGATTTTAGAAAGAACTAGGCAACTTGCATCTTTTTGTACATTCCTGACAATTTGTAATACAAGGCAGATTTATCTAAATCTTTAAATGATGAAATAATTCTTGGTAAATCTATAATGTTTCTGTACATTTGGGAGGAAAACTTTGAAAGTAATCTATTTCACCTTCAATTTGTTTATTCCACTTACTTATTCTTTTATTCATTCATATATAATGGACATATATTGAAAGCTCAAAAAACATGCTACAACTGCTAGGAGCTTGCAATAGAAAGATACAATTTATGCATGTGTTTTAGTTTTCATATTGTTATGTGTTTGGTGAGTGGTTGCCTCCATCCTGATTAATTAAAACGAATATTATTCATTTCTTATTTTGTTGAATTTTGGTTCTGGTGTCTCTGTATTCATTGGATCTGCTCTCCAGCCAATTTAAGTTGAAAAGACAGCACTGCCATGATTTGGAAGATGCAAAATTTAGCATGTATCTGGTTCTTGAGCCAGCANGTAGTAAATTTAATTTAAAGTTAAATTTATATTGAAATACAAGTTAACTAAGAGCTATGTGCCTGGGAATATTCTGAGTCTTGTATACTTATTAAATCATTTCACCTTTAAAACAATCCTGAGGCAGACACCACTCCATTTTACCAAGGAGCATATATGAGTATGGGCTCAAGTGATTATCAGCTTAACCAGGTCACACAGATAGAAAGCTTAGATTCCCACTCAGTTTGCTTAACCTCTATGCTCTCCCTTTTCCCTAAAGGGTATACATTAATTATCCTTTGGTGGCTAATCTAAGGATAATTTTTGGTATAATTTTCTCAAGTTGAAAATCAGAAGAAAAAGACAACCAACCAGCTGCTGTCATTTTCTAGTTTGTACAAACTTAGGCATGTCCCTTTGTCTCTTCTAGTTGCAGTTTTAGCACAATGGGACTTGGAATGTCTACCTAGCATATTTTAGTGTTTGTCTAACTTTCACCCCAGGTTTCTTTTGAACTAAGGCATAGTATAAAAAAAGAAAAACTTTATGAAGGTTAAATAAGATGATGCATATGAAAGTGTTTTAGGAAGTACAGAATGCTATGTCAATATAAATAAACTCTGTTATGATCAGTAATATAAAAATACAGAAGTAATTTAGCCATCCCTGCTTCCCTCTTCTATATTTGATTCTTTCATATGACTATATGACAGAAGAGTAGGAAATATAAATTTATTTATTCATTACCAATTAAAATAACCTAGCAAATCAAAAAAGCCATAGTGAGTGTTCCTCTAATTTAATCACAGCAAAACAAATTTTTTGAAACTCAAAATTAGGAGTCTATAAGACAAAAACAAAACAAAACAAATCAGCCAAACTGGCATCATTCTGAGAAAATCTATTATTTATCTTAATGATATTCAATAGACACATACTTAAATGCCTGACAAATTTATGTAAACACAATTTAATTTAAAAACTGCAAATATGTGTTATTTTCTTACTTCTTTTAACTCACTCTTTCTCTACTAGAGAGAAATAAAATTAAAATTCCAGAAAGCTAAGAAGTTTAAAAATGCCTAAGACATGAGTAACCAGGTTGCTCCTCAATCTTGAAGAACTTCTTACATTGATCTTTTTAAATATTAATTTTTTTATATGCCACTTGAAAAAAATTACTTTGCTTAAAACTACAACTGTTGATTGCAGCTAATGAACTACAGCTAAATATATTATAAGGTAATATTTTATATATATATTTGATATCCATTTCCAGGAAAATGTCAAAGCCTTGTGATGTGCTAGATTACTGTGCTAGTTGCTACCAGTTCCTGGAGATATAATAGTGAATAAGGTACAGATGACCTCTGCTTTCACTCAGTTTTAATTTTATCAGGGAATCATACATTTAATAGTTTTTCAAATGTAATTTTGTTAAGTGCCATGAAAGGTAAGTATACAGTACTA